TGGAATCTTGCTCTGTTGCCCAGGCTGGAGTGCAGTGGTACAATTTTGGCTCACTGCAATCTCCGCCTCCCGGGTACAAGCGATTCTCCTGCCTCCGCCTCCTAAGAAGCCAGGACTACAGGTATGCTCCACCACAGCTAGCTAACTTTTGTATTTTTAGTAGAGATAGGGTTTTACCATATTGGCCAGACTGGTCTCAAGCTCCTGACCTCATGTGAGCCACCCTGCCCAGCCTGGACAGGCTTTTTAAAGTTCCTGTGAATCTTTGAGGTAGCTGCTGATGCTTCTCGAGCAGATTGGTGACTTGCTTTCTGGGTAGTCGATGGCATTGCTGTGGTTCCTGGTAGATGCAGAGAACAACTTTTTGCATGTTACAGTTTCATCATTAACTTTCTTGAAAAAGAGAAAGTCAGTATACTTACATTGTCATTACTCAGGCACTTTCCCTGTTTGTTGAGTTCATTGCCACCAAAAGGGTTTATTGGAAAATGAAAATGCAGTGGCAAACACTAAGATAAGTGCATGGCTGTAGCTTTGCAGCAGGTGGTAAGTAGCTAGGTCATTGCAGCAAGGCCGTGGGGCCTCCCCTCTGTGAGCTCTTCTTCTTCCCAGCTCCTGGCCATACTGCCTATGTGCCTGGCTTGTCTCTCTCACATTTCCCACTGACCCCAGAGCCTGGTGGCTTCATGTGTCTTGCAAGTGGCTGAGGTGGTAAGCAGCCGGTGGGAGCAGCGGTGCTAAGCCCCCCTCTCAGGACCACCACCATGGGAAGAGCTGGCTCTCCCCAGTTGCTCGTGTCCGCCTGCATTTCAGTATCTCAGGAAGGGTCCGGGCGCTGTTTTTGAAGGGTTCCACTGAGTCAGGAGAGGGTTGGGAGGGGCAGGTCAGCGCTCTGCCTCTTCTAGTTCCAGGCTTGAGCGTGGGTGAGAACTCACTCACTGCACACCCACGTGCCTACACACCCGGAGAGTCCCACAGCACAGGATGCAGTCATGGCAGGAGCTGAAGCCCAGGTGGGGAGCCACCTACTGCTCCAGCTTCTCTTAGAGCAAGTCTTCATGGAACTCCACTAAACAATGCAAAGCTGGGGTGCATGCCAAAGCAGGCCCAACACCGGGATAAGAGAAGTCACCCAGGATGGTCCCAGAGAACCCAGAATGTATGGTCCCTTTATCCACAGGCTCCAGCAGGTATTCCGTTTCAGATGGGTCTGGGGACAGTTCCCCAGTTTAGGGTCTTCACTCCTGCGTGTGAGAGCTTAGGCCTTGCATTGAGTCGGGGGCTTGGGTGGGAGGTCCACTGTCCCACCGTGGACTGGGGGTCCACCCCATGTCTGCTGTAACAGAGTGGCTCCCTGCTGCTCCTCAGGAAGATGGGAGGGAGGAGTTTTCCCAGGGCCCACCCATTTGCTATCCATAGCTTGAGACAGAAAGCCCAGTTTTGACTTCCACGGAGGCTGGGGCCCAAGGCCTTTCTTCCACTCACTGCTGTGGCTTCCCTCCACATTTCAGACCCCTGTGACTCTCCCAACTGTTACTGACCCCTTCATAAATGCAGCTCAGCTACACACAAAATACATATTTACAGAGCACCACACCTGGAACTCCTGCAGATGCCAGTGGGGACTGAGGGAGAAGGGCGGCTTCCCACGCTGGCTCAGGACCCGGTCGCCTGAAATGCAATTCTTCCCAAGGCCACTTGGTTCACTCACGCGTTTGGAAGGCCTCCTGATCCAGCAGGGCCCCTCCTCTTCTCCAGCCTTGCCTCTCAGATGATGCCAGGCCCCCAGGCCTCCTCTGCTTGTCCTTGAACAAATGCCACCAAATGGTACGGAAGTCACGTGGAAGTCAGCCAGGTGTAGATTGTTGGTCTACAGCACATGGCCCATGTAGAAGCGGTACCCACTTGCCCCTTCACCAGCTTCCCCACACACATACGAGTACACACACACACGCACACTCCCATCCACACTGGCTGCGGGGGTGTCTGGGACCCTGGTGAGGCCCTAGACAGGATCCGATGGCAGCTCTCACACTTCCCTCGGGACCATAGTGGTTTCATCCATGCAGTAGATGTAGTTGTTCAAAAATGTTTATGGAATGAAAGGGGAAGGAAGGAATAAAAAACTTAAGAAACTACCAGAACCTCCTTCCTCTGTCCCAAGAGGTGTTAGAAGTTCATCAGGCTTCTTGGGGATCAACACATCTGGCTGTGGCAAAAGGGTGAGATGGGAGGAGAGTCTGGAGTGCAGCTCCCAGTGAGGCTGCCTTCCCCACTGGGGGCTCCTTCGTCCTGGACTTCTCTGCCAGTGCTGCAGAGGGCTGTTCTGCTCCTTCTGCAGGGCACCCGTCACTAAGTGCCCCCCCAGCCGCCGAAGGCAGCCAACTCTGGCTGGAAACACGGACACCAAGTGCACCTTTGGTGGCACAAACTAGAAAGTAGGTGGCAAAGCAGAGACAGGCGGAATGAGCTAATGACATGGGCCTGCCCCATTGGGCACAAGGGATGCAGCAGGCGATGGCAGAGCAGGGCAGAGGCGGTCTCCGGCTTGGGAAGAGGCAGCACATGGTGACCCCCTCACTGTCCTGATTTTGAGGGCCAAAGTCACCAGTCAAACCCACTGCTCCAGGACTTTTGCCACTGTTTGCATGAGAGGCACAACACCCCCAGGAAACAGCATGGAAGCGGGAGGGCTTCTGTGCTCTGCTGTGTGTGACTTTGATTAGGTTCTCATGCTCCTTGAACCTTGAAACCCTTGACACATGGGAAGAGCAAACGTCACCTTGTCTTTCTCCTAGTACATCTTAGTGAGAGAGGGACCTGAGACACCATCCAACAGCACCCCTGCTCCACAGGAGAGAGAGCTGGGTCCCAGGGATGAAAGGGACGCATGCAGTGTCACACAGTGGATCCATAGCAGAGAGGGCTTCAGGCCAGGTTTCCAACCTCTGGGACAGCACCTGCCCCCTTCCTGAGTTCAGACAGTGCAGATGCTCCTGGGAGAAGGAATTTTCTGGAGGGCACAGGGCTCTGGGTCCTTTTGTGGGAGAGCTGCAGGCTGGGCTGCATGCAGTGAAGCCTGCGGTGGAAATGGCAGGAGGAAGAATCCCAGGATAGATTCTCGTTACATAGTACGGGGTTCCCTGGAGGGCTTCACTGGTGTGTGGGGCACCCTGCTTGTATTATTACCTGCTTGTACCCTTGGGTGGCTCCATCTTCAGCTGAGGTCAGGCTTGTCGGCACATGACCAGTGCCCCCAGAGCAAAGCTCTGTGCTTAGCAGAGCTGCATAACCATCTCCTGTAACTCAACGGAAATTGTTTGGATGGGATTTTAGGTGGTAGCAGGTGGTTTCCAAGACAGAGACCAGACAGCATGGGTTTGTTTCTTTTTATCGCAAGAAGTCTCTGTGGGTGCTGAGCTCACCATGCCGCACAACTCACGGCTGTGGATGGCTGGTCGGTCCCCAGTCAGTCTGGGGTGGCGGTCGGGGCCTTCTACTTCCTTGCCTTCGCATTCTTTCCTTTACTTGCTTTGTGGGGCTTCAGGGCTTCCTCCTGGCCTGCGTGGCTGGTGATGGGGGGCGGGAAAGGGGCGGGGGCGTTGAGGTTCAGAGTCTTCTTCTGAAGCTTCAGGTCCAAGATGGCGAAAGTGTTCTGGATCTGGCACTGCAGCAGCTTCTGCAGGAGCTCCATCTGGATGTGGACGGCCTGGTGGACGAGGCTCTCCAGCTCCTGTAAGGAATGGGGAGGGCCAGTGAGCGGGGCTGGGGAGCCTCGTGGGATCTGGTTCTCAACTCAGACCCCGTTGTGGGTCCAAGGATGTGTCTACTGTCCACCCATCTCACCCTGAGTATGCGCCATGGCTGCCTTGACCTCTGGCTTCTGGTTGACTTCAGCCAACTAGGGGCGGGAGGTCTGAGGATGGGGGAGGTCCCACCTTCTGACCAGCTGTGGGCTGGCCACGGCAGGGGACCTCTACCCATGGTCACCCTTCCTGTCCTTCAGCACTTGCCTATAACTAAAGCTCTCTTTTTGGGTTCCAATAGTCACTCCCTCCCTTTTCTTTTCTGGCTTAGAGTGGCGGCCATGCTGTTTGAGTGTGTCATTTGTCCTGGGCCCCCTGGCCACTGCCATATTTCCTAGAGACTCTACTCCCTGAGCAATGCAGGCTCCATCTGGATGCCCCATCCCCCATCATCCTCATTCTCACCTCTCAGAGTTCTAGTGGCAACGTCATGGGAGAGGACGGGAAAATTGCTTCAGAGAGTAGGCTTATCCTCCACCCAGCCAGCCAGAAAAGAAATAGAAACGCAGCCACCGTCCAGCCACCATGTTGAACAGGAAGCCCGGTTGTTCAACCCCGTCATGGCCCACAGAGCCTGGAGACATGGACCACGTAGCTGTGTTTCTCCAGGCTCCCTGCCGGAGCGACCACACAGCAGAGCTGTTGTTGGGGGAGATGCTGGGAGCCATTGGTTGTCTGTAGTGCATTTATTTGAGATCTCGTATTTCACTTAAAATGTATGCAAAATTGTACATTGCCCCAGAATATCCCTTCGGTTGTTTTTGTAGAAAATAATGTTCTTCCATAACATTATTATTTTTATTATCAATATTTTTTTGAGATAGAGTTTCGCTCTTTTTGCCCAGTCTGGAGTGCAATGGCGCTATTCCAGCTTACTGCAACCTCTGCCTCCCGGGTTCAAGCGATTCTCCTGCCTCAGCCTCCAGGATAGCTGGGATTACAGGCGTGTGCCACCACACCTGGCTACTTTTGTATTTTTAGTAGAGGTGGGGTTTCTCTATGTTGGTCAGGCTGGTTTCGAACTGCCGACCTCAGGTGATCCGCCTGCCTTGGCCTCTCTAAGTGCTGGGATTACAGGTGTGAGCCACCACACCTGGCAAGAATGGGCTGTGTTTATTCTACGACTCTGAGTGCCCCATCTCAGGTGCATGGCTGGGGCACATGGCGTAGGGGGCCCTGGCTCACCAGCTCTGCCAGGCAGGGGCCAGCAGTGCCGTGCTGGAGGCTGGACATGGAGCTGGGAGTAGCAGGGAGGAAGAGCTGTGGGACATGCAGGGCATTAAGGGCCAATCTCTCCCACTGTGGCCAGCCTCCCTGCCTCTACCCTGCCACCCGGCATGCTAGAACAAGGTCCCTGGCAGGGAGCCAGAGACATAGACTATTGCATGGGTTTTGTTGGGTTCCTATTGAATGTCTTCATGAGCTAAGGTTACATGGCTCCTCGATGTGCAATTTGTGTGGAGACTTAACCTTACTTAGATGAGCACCATCCAGGCTGCTGTGTTCATTGTTCTTTAGAGATTTTCGTGTGTGTGTGTGTGTGTGTGTGTGTGTCCCTAAAGAAATACTTCCTAGGGCCATTTGCTCTTCAGCTGATGATTCAGAAACCAAAACCACTTGGAACTCACAGGCCCTGCAACTCCCACACTCCAACGCCTGAAACACACGCACACACACATACACACACATGCACATACTTGTCTCTCAAAGTATGTTCAAAGATGATGCAACAACGATGACTTCAGTGCCTGTGTGTAGCTAAGAAACTAATGGAGTCTTGGCCAGGCCCTCAGCAAGTCAGCTGCTCTGGGGCCGGGCTCGTCCCAGTCATTGAAGAGCTGGTCGTGGGAAATGCTGGCAGCTAGAGCCCCAGTGGTCTGGCAGACCCACCAAGAGAGCAGTCCCAAGTCTGAGGTTTAGGCACCAGATCCTTCCACGTCTTCCCTGGGCCCCAGCTCCACCCTTTGTCTCCCTGGTCACATGACCCTCCAGAAGCTGTCCCCCTGTCCGTGCTTCCTCCATCTTCTCCCCCAGCCTGGGTACATGCCAGCTGTGGAGAATCACTGCAGTTCCAAGGCTGGGGTCTTTTTCCTGACTCTCTTGGTGGAATCTGTCACTGATAAATGAGACAGAGGAAGGAGCTTAGAGTGCAGGGTCAGCCAGGTCTGTCTGAACGTGAACTCTACCACATGCTAGCTTGGTGACCTTGTGAGTTGATAAGTTCTCTGAGCCTCAGTCGTCTCATCACTAAAATAGGGACATGAATTTCTCCCTTGCAGGGACATTGCATGACAAGGTGCACTCGAAGCCCATGGCTAGACTCTGGATTCCTCCCTGCTTCTCTCCCCCTCCCCTGTGTGCCAACGATGTGCTCCCATCTGCAGTGACTCCAGCCCAGACTGATGTCCTTGCAGGTCTAGGTGCCCACCCTTGGCAAGTAGGCAGAGCCTCACCTGTCTCTCCAGGACCCGGCTGGGGTGCGCGGGCATGGCGGAGGTGAACGCCTTCTGCAGCGAGTTCTCCTGCTCCAGGAGCAGCGCTTCCTTCAGGAGCAGCATGTCGGCGCGCTTCTGTGCCTCGGCCTCGGTCAGCGCAGCCACCTGCTGCTCATGGGTCCACAAGCCCCTGTCCATGCCCTCGGCCAGCGGGAGGGGCTGGGGTGGCATGCACACTTCCAGGTGGGCAACAGTCAGGTCGACCTGCTGGTCCTGGCCCAGGACATACTGGTAGAGTTTGTAGTGGTGGATGAAGGTGTGGTGGAAGTAGTCACAGAGGGCCAGCAGGTGGGTGGGGTTGAAATGGCCCTGGTAATCTCTGAGCTTGTTCCCCAGAATCATCACAGCCTCAGTAACGGAGCAGCCTGTGGGCACAGGAGCCAGGTAGAGTGGGAGTGGGACAGAGCTGCCCTGCCAGGCCTTGGATGTGGGCTCTGCACATAGACAGCCTGGTCACAGAGCCCATGTCCCATTGCATTTTAAAAAATATGTATTTTTATTTATTTATCTTTGAGATACGGTCTCATTCTGTCACCCAGGCTGGAGTGCAGTGGTGCAATCATAGCTCACTACAGCCTCCAGCTTCCAGGCTCGGGAAATCCCCCAGCCTCAGCCTCCTGAGTAGCTGGGACTACAGGCACATGCTACTAAACCTAATATTTTTTATTTTTTGTAGAGATGAGATTATTGCTATTTTACCCAGGCTGAACTTCTGAGCTGAAGCGATCCTCCTGCCTCAGCTTCCTAAAGTGCTGGAATTACAGGCGCGAGCCACTGTGCTGGCTCTAACTGCGATTCTTACTACCATGCACTAGCTCTGGAAAGCTATGCAGTGTACCATGTTTCCTTTTTACCTGCAGTAACTTACATTTATCCCATTTTTTCCTTACATGATTATCCCAGTATAATCATATAAATATGATTATATGATCTCAGTATAATCACATAATCATTACCATAATTTTTTTTTTCAAACTCTTGGCCTCAAGCCATCCTTCCACCTTGGCCTCCCAAAGTGCTGGGATTACAGGAGTGAACCAACATACCTGGCCAGTATTTTGTCTTTTGACACTTATTTTAAAAGACAAAATGCTGGCCAGATGTGGTGGTTCAAGATCAAGCACACCTGCTACTTTAGCTGTGCTTTATCTTGTTTCACTTCTAACTCTTTAGGAAGGAGATGAGGATGTAGAAAAGGAATTCCGATAATACTGAAGCAGGAAGTGGTGGGGCATGGTGGCTCACGCCTGTAATCCCACCATTTTGGGAGGCTGAGGTGGGCGGATCACTTGAGGTCAGAAGTTTGAGACCAGCCTGGCCAACATGACAAAACCCTGTCTCTATTAAAAATACAAATATTAGCCGGGTGTGGTGGCAGGTGCCTGTAATCCCAACTACTCAGGAGGCTGAGGCAGGAGAATCACTTGTGAGAGGAGGTTGCAGTGAGCCAAGATCGTGCCACTGCACTCCAGCCTGGGCAACAGAGTGAGACTCCGTCTAAAAAAAAAGAAAAAAATCCCAGCACTTTGTGAGGCCAAGGCAGGAGAATCACCTGAGGTTGGGAGTTTGAGACCAGCCTGACCAACATGGAGAAACTAAAAATACAAAATTAGCTGGACATTGTGGCGCATGCCTGTAATCCCAGCTACTCGGGAGGCTGAGGTGAGCTGAGATCATGCCATTGCACTCCAGCCTGGGCAACAAAAGCAAAACTCTGTCTCAAAAAAAAAAAAAAAAAAAATAGAGTGGAGCAGGAGGTGATTGATGCCCAGACAACTTGCTGTGCTGGTGGTTTGTGCCACAGACAGAATGGGAAAGTATTCTTGATCCCATTTGTGCAAAGGATTGGCTCTGAGGGCAGCACTATGGGCAGTGCTCCTCGAGGCATGACCTGCCTCCCCACTTCTCTCCTCCTCTTTCCTCACTCCTCCTGCTCACAACTCTTTTAGGTGCTCAGCACAGTGGTTGGAGGCTGGGCTCTCCCAGCATCTGCTTGGGACTTGACAGAGGAGGGGATTCATGAAGGGTCGTGGCTGAATTACATGCCTGCCCTGCTGAGCAGATGAGCAGACACCAGGCAGAGAGACAGGCAAGTCAAGGTCAGCAGAAAAGCATGGCCCTGGCATGGAGACCTAGGTTCTCATATTCACTGTCCTGGAAGTGCATTGTGGACTTGACCGAGCCTCTCCTGCTCTCTGACTCAGTGTTCCCTCTGAAGAACAAGGGCTTGGGCCAGGCGCCCACCAGATCGTGTGCCTCAGAGAATTTCATATTTCCTTCTGCCGACAATGAAGGTAACGTGCTATAGGCAAGGAGCTGGACTTTCGCCCAAGGTAGAGGACCTGGCTTGTTCACAGACCCCTTCATCTTCTCTTCCTCTGTGTGAGCCCTCCGTGGGGCCCTGTGGGGTTTCCCCACCCCCAGCTAGAGTGCTCCATGCCCCTTCAGCAGGGACTATCTCAGCCTTGCCCACGAGGTTGTTTTGAAGTCCTCCCACCCCTCATTCCCTCCATGTTTCCTCTTGGCTGGTTGCTGAGGCTGTCTTGCTTTGTATGGAAATATTCACCTTGAATCTCCCAAATTACCCAGAGGGTGGAGACCTCATGGTCTTGGGAAAATATTAGCAAAAGCAATAGCAATCCACTTGGAGCCATGTTAGGATGTGCTGGGAGTGACACTCAGATTCTGGCAATCTCAGTCTCCTGAGGGAGGGAAGTGGGGATGGTTCCATCATGCAGAATCCAGGCTGGAGGCTATACTTCCCCTTTCTTTCATGGCAAACCAGCAGGCTCGGAGCCCAAGGGTTATGCTTCTCTTGGGGAGGTACTGGGTTTGGAGGACTGAGATACTCTTTCCCTCTTAGACATGACACTTGGGCCTTTTTCTCTCAAATGTAAAATTTAGAATAGTGATACTGACTTCACAGGCTTGTTGGAAGGGCCAAATGGAGTAAGATGTCCAGCTTTGTACAGAGCCTAATACAAGCCAGCAATCAATAAATGCCGTAAAAATAGTTTATTTCTACCTTTGCAAAAAAAAGGTCTCTTCCTTTCCCTCTTCCCCTCCATCCTGCCTTCCCTCTATTAATTCCTTCCTTCATCTCTGTCCATCTTTCCATTCATCCATTCTTCTACTTATCCATCCACCCATGCATCCATTCATCCTTCCATTCATCCATCCATATACCCATCTATCCATCCATCCATCCACCCATCCATCCATCCATCCATCCTTTCTTCTACTTATCCATCCAACCATGAATCCATCCTTTCATTCATTCTTCCACCCACCCACCCACCCACCCACCCATCCATCCATCCATCCATCCATCCATTTATCCATCCATCCACCCATCCATCCATTAATTCTTCAATCTATCCATCCATCTATTCACCCATCCTTCCATCCATTTGTGAAAGGAAAATAAAAACTTGGGAACCCAATTCATTATACCAAAAGAAAAAAATTAAGCTGAAAGTTGAGTAATATGAGAAACTGCCTTTCCTTTTATTCCTAAGCAGATAGAATAAAAGGTTAAATATCTCCACAAGCAGCTATTCTATGTTCACCTTATCTTATGCAAAGTCCTAATTTACTGAGCAAGGGAGGAATACATAATTGATTATTTACCACCTGCTCCTCTTCTCTTGTAACATGTGGATTACCATATCCTCCTTCTTTCCCCTCCAGCCCACTTTCCCCTTTAAATATTGAAGCCCTCAAAATTATCTTTGGAGAAAGACCAGACCTTTCTCCCAGGTATGTCATTAACCTTGGAAAAATAACCTTCTAAATTGATTGAGACCTGTCTCAGATACTTTTTGGTTTACACATTCATCCTTCCATTCACCCAAGATTAGTTTGTCAAATGGTGACTGAACCTGTAAATTGTTACTGCCTATTAATTTTACTCAGCACTATGCGAGATTCTGGCAATACTATGACAACAAGCCATATCCCCTGCTCTCAGATGCTTGCGGGAGAGACACAAGCAGAAAATGGCAGTGCATAGTAAAGAGGAACAGAGTTGGGTGAAGAAGAGCAAGGACTTCAGGACCAGGTCCTCCTAGAGAAGGCGATGTGTGACCTGCATCCCAGGGAAGGCTGAGCCAGGCCCAGAGGTGGGGCCACTTCACAGGCCAGCTGAGTGACAGCAAGGAGCAGGCAGCAACCTGGCCTGGGTGGGAGCAGGGTGAGGCTTGTTGTCATTGGCACCTAAAGGTGGAGGCAGATGATGGAAAGAGCTGCATGGAAAGGTGGGTGGAAGACAGACCCTCGGGCCTTGAACGCCACATTCGGAAGCCAGGGCTCTGTCTTCTGGGCAGTGCACAGAAGGAGCAGATATGAGTGTGAGGACCTGGCCATCCTTGGATGTAGGGCGTGCAAGATAGAAACGTGCACAACCCCCGGATTCTTATGGGAATGTTTGAGGGACAGTGCGCCCACTAACAGAGAGAATACCATATGGTGGGACGCTGACCTTTGACATGACCCCTGCCCTCAGAGCGCTTCCAGTCTCAGAGACAGTTGAACAAATGATGGCTACCTTTGTATTCTCAGCCCCCAGCACTGGGATTTGTGCATAGGAGAGGCCCAAAGTCCAGAGAGTGAATGAACCCAGCTTTAATATGTCAATGTGGAGCTGGTCATTCATTCTGTCAACAAATATTTATTGGGGACTTTCCATGTGCCAAGAGGTCTTCCAGGTTCCAGGGAAGTGGTGGAGGAAGGAAACGCAGATACCTAACTCTGCACTGGGCTGTGTGGGGTTGGCAGGGCACATGACAGGAAGAAGGTCAGGAAAGGCTTCCCTGAGGAGGCAGTAAGGAGCTGGGATGGACTTGCTCAGAGGGATTTACTGGGCAAAGAGGTGGTGAAGAGCGAGGCAAGAGGGAGTGCAGCTTGTGCAAAGCCCCTGTGGTTGAAGCAGGCGTGGCCCACTGAGGGAACAAAAGGCGGGGGAGGAAGGCAGTGAGCAGGATGGAGATCTGCAGGTGGGGAGCCGGCTGGCTGGAGATGAGGCTGGGCAGGCCAGGCCCTGCAAGCCCCTAGGATGCCATGCCCTGCAGGGGTCCCACCCCCAGGGCCACCATCTTGCAGAGGCTCATCTCCCTACCCCACCATGGAGTCTTTCACCAGAGTAAGGCTCCCCCATTGCCAGGCATTGGGGGATGTTGCCTATGGCCAAGGCCTTCACTATGGAGGCTGCTGGGCTGGCAGAACAGGCCCCAAAGGCCAGGCCCACCCGAACATGGCAAAAGGGTTTCCAGCAGGCAGGGGGTAAGTGGAGCCAGGTTCCAGGGAGCCAATTCTGGAGGAACGAGCTGTGTTGGAAAGAAGGGCCAAGGCATCGGGGGATCAGCCT